TTTTTATTTAAAAAATATTGTATTTTAAAAATATTTCTGTGGGGAATAGCTACTCAAACTAGTTAGTAAGATCAAGTATGCTTTTTGTTTAGCCTGCCTACAAGGCAAGAGGCCAAAACAAATCAAAGCAACACAACTGGATTATTCCTTGCTAATGTTTCATGCCTAGCTGCAAAAAGAATAAGAAAATAGAGGATATCTATTGGTATAACGTGATTATAAGGGTAACAAGATGAAAAGAAGACATGTCCAGAGTACATGCATGCACCACTTGAAAATTAGGTCTCACACTGTCAGATGTAAACTGATACAAATTTTAGCCATTGGTAGAACAAGGAGTAGAGGGAAATAGTTTCTCCTGGCCAAAATATAGTTATTCCAGGAGGCTGGAGAAAGAGATTAAAAAAAGCACTGATTGGGTACATCAAAAGCATTGGAAGTCTAAAAATAACTTCTTAGTTGTAATTCTTTTCAATATATTATATACTTTGCTGCCCTATACGCTAGGGCTGACACAATGGTTATTTCTGATGTTTTATTATCCTATTAATATTATTTGTTATTTATTTTATGCTGACTTGAATTTTATTCTATGGTGTTTTAATTTCAATTTCAATTAAATATTTTATTGGTGAAATAAATGGAATACACCAACAGAAATAAAATAATACCGTGTTTCTCCAACAATACGCCCCCCCAATAGGAAGACCCAGCATGTTTTCTAGGCATAAGGTGAAATTAAGCCCCTCCCCCCAAATTTAGGCCTAGTTTAAAACATGCGAAATTGGGGGGCAGGGGGAAACTTGCCATTAGCAGCACCCCGCGGGCAGCCACGCCTCGCCACCAGCTGCTCCTAACTGCCAATCATGGCGGAGAGCTCCCTACCCCCACCAAGTGCCTTTGCTGCAGACCCGGGTATGGTGCTGGGTGCAGGCCCAGTCACGCCTCCCCAGGTGCAGGCTGAACGTCCTTAATTCCCAAGGGAAAAAACGTTGTTATGGCTATACATCACACACTGTCTCCATCTATCCCCCTCCCATTCCCACAGCTTGCCCATCCACTGCTTGTAGCAGCCCTGAAGATCCAAATGTAAAAATGGCCTCCAGTGCTGACACAGAATGTTTTGGAATCCGGTTCATGCTTGGCATCTTCAAGTTTGTTTACCCTGAGAATGGAATTTCACCAGTCTAAACACCTGAGTGCTTCCCAAAACATCTCGGCAGTGCTGGATTGGCTACACATACACAGACCATGGGAGTGCTGTGGGAACCATGGGGTTTTGTATTGATGCATGAGAACTTTAAATTCCACTTGACTCTACTGCAATCAGCATCTCTTAGTAAAAGTACATTTCATTTCAACCAAATGGAGTTGAGAGTTTTTCTCCCCTAAGGGATCAGGCTGGGGCAGGTCTGACACATGCAGACTGGGGAATTCTGAGAATTAAAGTTGTTGAGGTTGAGAAACGCTGCCTTTGTCTTTTTATATCTGACAGTACAGACAAATTTTCAGCATTTATGTTTGTAACAGTAAGCACTTTGTTCTGTATGCTATGCGTTTTCATCATTAAAAAATCTGATGTAATTTTGCTTAATTTTGGGAGGTGTGTTGGTCTGAAATATTTCAAAACTAAGAATGATCTTCCTATGCAAGAAGTTGAGGTTACATCCTGCTCTTCTAGCTACGCTGGAAAAAGATTGCAAATGAGAGTGCTCTGTTAGTTTCCTATTTCTCAGAAAATCTGTGTGGAAGCCCTTAATCTTTTGGATCTTTTGGTATAGAACAATATCTTGGAAGAGGAGCAAGCAGACTTCAAGAAGGAATAATTGAGCAGTATTTCATTTTTTCACTATTAAATAGAAGTACATATTAGCCATCTGCATGAGATTCTCTCGAGTTGCCTTTATTGATTTAAAAGCATCAATCATTTTCATCAGGCAGATATTATGCCGATTGTAGTGTATTTTGTTTCTATTTCATATCTAGGAATATTTTAAGTGTCTTCAGAACATTTAAACTGCTTGTTTTTATTTATTTGTTTTAATGGAATTGGTTGGTACACTTGGATATAATTATGTTATCTTGAAGTAGTAGTCAACTGTTGATTTCGGTTACTACAGGGTTGTAGCCTATTGTGTTAATTTTTTTTGCCTTCTATTCAACAGAGGCTGACATAACATTAACTGTTTTGTTCAAAAGAATTCTCTAAGTCCATACAAAATTTGAAAAAGATGTATTATATTAACAGCACACTAACATCAATTTTCTAAGCAGTTATTAAACATATTGAATAAATGCATGCCTGGATATAAGTCCACTGAGTTCATCCAAATTACACCAATGAGGTATTCATCCCGTTCTTTGTATTATAATGTTACCCAGCTTTTCTGTATTTTATGCTGGAAATATAAGTACCTTGTGTCTCCTTAAACTAATCAGAATAAGAAGCTACTTTTCTCTGCCAAAAAAATAGAACTATCATTTTTCACATTCTTATATTTTCCAGTTCAGTTTTAAGTCAGATTATGTTACTGTGACTTCTGAATTCCTGAAAATTCTCTCGTCTTCATAGCTGCAAAAGCCCTCCTGAGCATTTCAAAGAAAAAACATGAAGCTTTTAAAGCAGTATGTTTTGTGTTGTGCCTACCAGATACAGTTCACATTTTGTGTGCATGTCATTAGAGTGGAGGGAAAATGCAGTCCGGTATTATGATTTATTGATGAAATCTTTTTCCTGCTGAACACTTGCCAAAAGTAAAAACTACCTCCCCCCTACATATTAAAAACAGCTACTGTTGTTAACTGCTGAATAGTCCTATTTCAAATTATAGCAACAGCAACATTAAATCTCACATTAATAATATCCTTCAGCCAATATTAAAGGGTAAAACTATTGCTAATATGGCATATGAAAGTTAAAATTTCTTCCATCTGTTCTCAGATGTATGTGTGTGTATGTATTTATAAATGTAAGCTTTATTGTCTTATATTTCAAATGAAAAAACAATTTAAGGTATTTTTCTAGTTAGTATCTCATTATTTGGCTTGCATCTATCACATTCCAGGGTTTCCATGAAGTATATGTTTATACATTTTTCTATATATGTAGTAGTTTTGAGCATTAATTATTTTATTATAAAGTTAATTTTCTGTACTTCTACAACTAATTTTATTTTGATAGTGTTAAACAGTCCAGTGGTATCATTATGCTCTATATTTCCTAGAATAAGGACAAAAAGGATACAGTTGCTAGCTAGAGTTATGTCAATATGGACTCTTCATAACCAGGCAAAGTTCATTTAAGTAAACAGGAAAAAGATGGAAGAACTAGGAAAATAAATGTCACCGTAGAAATTACCACACAATTCATGCATTAGGAAATCTAGAAGTAAAATATAAAGAGCTGCATAACCTTAGTTTATCAACAGAATGTGTGTAACATTTTTCCGTGCTTCCTGTTTTGCATAGATCTTATAAACGCCAGTTTTTGACATGTGTCTTAAATTCCAAAGAAATTTAAATTCTTATTCTGGGTACCAAGAATCAATATGCATCTAACTAATAGATGGTTCTATTAGTTTTGTCTCCTTTGATCATAGTAGGTTGGTGTAAGGTTTTAGTGTAAAATATAAGGCTAGTATATTTTAGTATAGGGCTATCATGCCTTCCATTGACTGTTTTCTAATCTGTTCGTAGAAGTTTGAAATGGAACACTAAAATCTGTAATGAAGTCAACTTCCACTGAAAGACAACTGATAAGAACTAGAGCATTTTTATCATGGAAGAATTGTGGTGAAGAATTGCCGATTTATAACAGTTGACTTAATGATCAACACCAGCTATAACTAAGTTGTTCGATGCTTGTCATATCACCTGTCCTTGCTAACCAGAAAAGAAAACTAAAATAACCAACAAGAATATAATATTAGGTCCTAAACACTCCAGCAGCAGCTATTTCTACCTCTGTGTTAGTCTGTGAGATAGAAACAAATTAGAAACTGGCACAACATACACATACTTGCTTATTTGTCATCGTCATCATCATCATCATCATCATCATCCAGTGTTCATTGGTGCAAGATTTTAAACAAACCAGTAGTTGGAATTGTACCTACTTTGCAAGTTTTCATCTCAGAGTCAACATAGCTTTTCTAATTTCTTTTAGTGATCTAATCCTAGTCTAAGTCATTGATACATTGTTGGAATGAGTATGGTACTGAAAATTTTGTGGTCAGCAGAGTGAATACATATTCAACTTCAGAAGGATATATATATGCTGGTCCAGCAGGTTTTTGGCTTGGTTTAAAAAGGATTTGAGGGGAAAAAACAACAAGAATCCAATATAGTAATGCATACGAGCAGCTATCGCTATCCTAACGTTCAGGCAATGCAACAAGTTTTTAAAAAATGGGTATTACTAGATTAAGAGAGTTAGCCTGGAATGGAAGTATATAAGTGGAATTACTTTTATAAATAATATAGCATCATGTTACATGTGGGATTAAGCCTTTAATATGAAAAATAGAATATTATCCTCATATAGGAAATGTCACTTGTAAGATAATATATAAAGTCTTCTTACAATAAAAAGTAATACGTCATTCAAGTTGAGTTCAACTCCTAATGACTTCATGGGTCAGTTTCTCAGCAACTGGATGTAGGTTGGTTTGCCTTATTTTCAACCTAGCATACAGCACTGGAATTTTCTGAAATTCTCCTAGCAGTCTTTATATTCCAGGTTGATTTAGAAAAGATTGATCGGAATAGCAATTGTCAAGATAAACTCATGAAAATGAAAATCTTAAACTGGCTGGTGAGAGTACAGTTTGTAATTCTACTGATGTTTAAATTTATCTTAAATTTTAAATTTAATTGTTGTGTCATACATCTGCATTCTGAAGTGATTTGTTTTCTACAGTGCTAGAGCTACTTTAAATAAATATAGTTCTACAAAATATAACATTGCCATATCAGTTCTAATCTTGGTTTTTTGTTCACAGTTGCAACAGGCGTCTGAAGTGTCTCAGATGAGAGGTGCTAGAGTAATCTCTGCAGAAGATCTCATTTTTTTGATGCGCAAAGATAAGGTACAATAGTATAAATAAACTGATACTGTAAATTAAACCATGAATTAGTGTTTTCTCTAGTCATCCAACATGACAATTCAAAAATTGTAATTCAGTCAACATCATGCCAATAATTTTTCTCTATGCTGAAAAGGAAAAACATTTATTTCATGCTACCCCATAGTTGTCATATATGCTACAATTGTTAGTAATTATGTTTTGCAATGCCATTTATCCTACTTATTAGAAGGAATGAATAATTGCAAGTGGAGTTGAAAAAGCTTAAAAGATACTGGGAAACAAGTTAAAACTGCTTAACTTTCAAAATGCGCACTGAAAGCTGTAATAATGGATATAACAACAAATTTCTATGGCTAACCCTTTTTCTCAATAGTTGAAATTATGGTTCTATGTTTCTGTGTCTGTGTATAGAAGGGAGCAGAGTAATGTTTTTAGTTCAGGGAATGGGAAGTGGGATATGCCAAGAATTTGGTGCATGCTTCATAATATCCAGAGAAAATCAAGCAGAACAATTTTGTTTAGAAGGATTGTCAAACTGCTTAGAAATTGATTATTGTAGAAAAAATAAGATAAACTTCACTGATAGGAATGCCCATGAAACTTCCGGAGAACCCTGAGTTCCGCTGGTGGTGGACAGGATGAGTCAAAATTTTCCTTGCTGGAAAAGCAGTTACCCCAGCTCCACCTCAGGTGCATATGCTTCAAGTTTTGCAAATTGCAAAAAGAAATTTTTTCCATTTGAGTTATATTGGAGCTAAACTAGAAAATAGGAGAAACTGACTGTATCAGCTGGAACATCCATTGGAACATGCTATCAAGGTCTTCAGAATGAGAGTAGGATGCTCATCCATCAGAAATACTCTAGTGCAGGGGTTGCCAACCTTTTGGACCTCAGGGACCACCAAACATAATTTTAGATACCAGGGACCACTAACCGGTTCTGTGAGCGAGGCCTAATTTGTGGGTGTGGCTTGGTGGCCATATGATTGGCTGGGTATGTATGTAAATATTATAAATATTTATATAAATATTGAATTTTTTATTAAAAAAAGAGCAACTTTTACCCAAAATCAGGCAAAGCAGGCAGATTTGCTCACAGAATTACAGATTCATTCAGAGATCTGTCTATCTGCCATTGTCTTAGCTCAGTCTGTCACATAAAATTTGCTTGCAAGCAAACTCATAAAATTAACTCACAACACACCATGCATGTAAATATTGAATTTTTTTATTTAAAAATAGAGCAATTTTTACCCATAGTCAGGCAAAGCAGGCAGATTGAGTTGCTCACAGAATCATTCAGTGATCTATCTATCTGCCATTGGCTAGCTCAGTCTCTCAAATTTGCTTGCTGTGAGTCTGCACTGAATTTGCTTGCAAGCAAACCTTCAGTCCTAAGGGAGGTTCGGCTGCGCTGAGCTGAAGATCTAAAGACTAGCTAGAAAGCAAGAAATCCAACTATTTCCTGCTTCCTAGCTAATCTAAATCTCCCGGCACAGCAGAACAGATAATGGTCGGAAAAAGGAAAAATAGCAATTTAGCAGGCAAGTTTACCGAGTAAGGATTGAGTGGGCGGGGAGTGTTCCCGTGGGCCATGTGGACTGAGCAGCCTTGTGTTTCTGTGCAGCCTGGATTAATTGCTTTGTGTGGGTGCTCTGTGGGTGAGATTTCTCTGCGGCCCACCAAAATTTTATCACGGCCCGCCAGTGGGCCACGGCCCACCAGTTGGCGACCGCTGCTCTAGTGGATCCTGCACTGAATAATTGAACTAGATGATGCTAAGCTCACTTTGATTCTGTAATTGAATGAAAATAATGTCGACTTTCCTAAGAGGTTGATTTTGTGGAAACATAGCAGCACAACTCAGATGCCAGGTTAGTATAAATGTGGGTAGGAAAAACCCTCTGACACATTACTTTCCCTAAATACTGCTTTATGCTCTTTCTTCCTCTTGCTCCACTCCAAATCATGTAGTTTAAAATGATTGAAGCTGAGTTTATTAAGGCAAATACTAGACCATTATAATCAAAGTTTTAAAGGGAAATTGTCTGTAAGACCTGTCACCAAAATACAGGAAACCTAGAGGTATAATAGCTTTTTTAAAAAAATGTAACACGTACATGCATGTTTAGAAGTGTAAAATCAGGAGAAAGAAATGTTCCCTGGGTGTCATTTGTCCCTTTGATTATTGACAGATCAGAAATGTTAGGCAATGATTAAGAAAAAGAAGGGAACAATCAATCAATCAATCAACTTTTATTACAGTCAACAGACCAGGAAATATAACAACAACAACAACAACAACAATAATAGAAGGAATAGAACTGGGAAATGGAAGTATAGAGAAAGCATTAGCAAAGGATGATGGTTACAAACACCTAGATATATTGGAAGCAGATAACATCTTGAATGGAAAAGTCAAAGAGTCAACACAAAAGGAATACATCAGGAGGGTCCACAAAATATTAAAATCAAAGTTAAATGCTGGAAACATAATTAAAGCCATTAATGCAGTACCAGTGATATGCTACTTAGCTGGAATCATTAACTGGACTTTGGCTGAACTGGAAAACTTGGACTGGATAATGCGCAAACTTTTGAATATGTACTACTATTTATATCCATGAAGTGTCATCGATAGGTTATACCTGCCAAGAAAAATAGGAGGCAGAGAGCTATTGCAAATCCCTCAAACTATAGAAGAAGAAAAACAGAAGCTTGAATGATTAGGGTTATGTGAACCAAAGTACAGAAAAATTGCTGAAGGCTGTGAAAACGGAGAACATAATAAAAACAACAAAAACAAAGGCAGAATATAAGGAAAAACAGCTGGATGACAGATTAAATAGATGGAAAACCAAAGGTTTGCATGGACAGCACTTGAAAAACATTGAAGGAAAATGTGATGACAACTTGACATGGGCATGGCTTAAAATGGGAACCATCAAGAAAGAAACAGACGGTTTAATACTTGCTGCTCAAGAATAAGCACTACAAACTAATGCCATGAAAGTGAAGATACAAAAATCCACTGACAATTGGGGGAAGAAGGTGGAGCCTCCTCACTGACGGACCATAGATCGCGACTCTCTGCAGCTATGGTCCGTGCTCTTTTGTTGGAGAGCCCCGATTATTACGATTAGGGGCTGAAGCTGCCTTGGAGGGGCGGCGGAGTAAGGGGAAGCCGCAAACCAGGTTGAGGGGAGCCGCATCTCCCCCCCTGGGCTTGGTCTTTTCCCCCCCGAAGACGACTGCAGCGGTGGTTTAAAATGGCCACCCCAAAGAGGAGGACTCAGCTGGATTAAGATTTGTGCAGGAGGGAACAAAGAGGTGGATAACATCTGAACCGGGACAACTGGGCAATACAACTAAACAAAAATACCCTGGGATTAAGGTAACATGGAATTTTTAAGAAAAGAAAAGTGAGCGGCGAAATTACAAAGGGACAGGGGGAAAAAAAGAAAATATTTTTGACAGCTAAGCGGGGCTTCGAACTGGGAAAGGAAGAAGCTGGAACTAAAGATTTAACTAAATTGGACTAAAATATTTTGGGAATAAACAGGCATAAAATAAAGCTGGACTTAAGATTGTCAAAAAATAATAATAAAGTTTACAAATTGGAGACTGGACTGTGCTTGAATATTGAGGTTTGAAAAACCCTAAATAAAAAAATAGGGGGAAAAGGTGAAGACTTTGTATAATGGAGAGTGCCACCTTTTGACAAAAACTTGAGCTCAAACAAAAGGGAAAGCATCCTGTTTCTGAATGAACTTGTGTGGATATAACATTAAAAAAAATTGAAACAAAGTAAGAATCTTAGAAAGTGAAAGCAGAACCAGAATAAAGAAAAAAGCAAGGAAAGACTGACTGTGGGATTGATTGATGTTTTTGGTATAGACCCTGGGCTGGAATAATTGAGAACTTTAGAAAATTGAAAGAAGAAAGAAGGAAAGTAAAAATGTTTTTTTTTTGTGGACTTTAATGATCATAAAATATAAGAGTGTGTAATGATGATATCTCTTCGGGAATTAAAAATGGAACTTAAAAATATGAGAGAATTACTACAGGAAAGAGGCGAATCACTTTGCTCTGTGTTAGGAAAAAATGGAAATGGCGATTGAAGAACAAGAAGAAAGAGCTTCAGAGGAGGAGGAGTCGATTCAAGGAGAAGACATTTTAAATAGACAATTAACACAAAGAACACTACAAAGAAGTGGGGAAAGAAGGAAGGTTAAAAAGTTGAGATTTAAGAAGGCAATCAAAAGGGGGAATACCTGTGAAGCCAGGAAAGGCAGAAAGACCCAGCAGAAAAGGGGAAAGGAAGATATTAAGAAAGAGAGGGATATAAACTGGAATGAGAAAAGATATGGGGAAAAGAAGGGGAGGAGAAGCAGTAAGAAACAGGTGCATGAAATAAAGAAATACGGAAATAGTAAAATGTTGAAAAGAAATTGTTTTTTCATAGATAAGGGTTGATGAATTAAAAGGGGGATTCTGCAGGGTGACAAGAGGTAATAAGAATATTTCTACAATTAAAAATATTTAAAAAATAGGGTGATATAGATACTGATAACACTTATTAAAAATCAAGGGGGGAAAATACGCTGCGGAATCCAAATGAAAAGATGTAATGATTATTATTGTAACTTCTTAAAAATAATGGTTTATTGGGAATCAAGATGAGGGAATAAAGGTATATTTTAATCATTGAGGTGTCACACTCGAAACAGAAAAAGGGGGGAAACCTATACTTTTTTTTTTAGTGTTAAAATTTGTATTAATCTAGATTTATAAAAAGAATGTGTAATGGAAAGGGAATATGACAGACTAAAGAACCAACTAAATTAATAAGTTAATATAGACTATTAAAAGCAAGGAGAGACATTGGTAACTTTTTTATTATTATCATTATCATTATCATTATTAGGCAAACACATTGTTTATCTTTATTTTTAAAATAAATATTAAAGGATTATATTTGAATAATTGAAATGAAACAA